TGCTGAAGCATAGCGAAGTTTTCGGGTTCCAGCCAGGCCATTGACGAAGGGGGCTGTTCCAGAATGGCAATGCCTCCTTTGGCGACGACTGCTTCGAATATGGCACGTCCACGGGCGTGGATCTCTCTGCTGTCTTTAACCCGTTGTTGCAGGTGCGGCGGCAAGTTGGGCACGCCCTGCATAAATTTTGGCGTGCGTAGGGGTCGGGGTCCCCCTGGCTTGAGTTTTAGTCTGCTATACTCTTTGCACGGCGGTGCAATCATAACGAACTTAACCAAGCCGGACCATGCAAGTCGTAGGAGGACTTCGAAAGTGGGGTCGTGCAGGATATCGTGTTGGGCATTGCCGTCTAGGTCGAAAGGTTCAAAACATGCCTTGCTGAGTTTTTGCACGGCGGCTGTCACGGGGTGGCATCGGCCTGCAAAGACATCCAGGAAAAAACCCTGCGGGGCTTGGCTGCATGGCTGGGCAGTGCGCTGGCCCTTTTGTTCTTGACCTGAATTGGGGGTTTGCATGGGTGCGGCTGCACGATGCCAGTCCGGGTCAGCGGCCGCTGACTGGCTCGGACCTTGTCAGGTGTGATTTGGATGGTCCTTGGCAGGGTGGGGCTTTTGACATCCTGGCACGGCGCAAACGTGGGCGAACTTGCAGTTTTCTGCCTGGCATTTCCCTACCTGATATCGTTTGCACACCTCCTTGCCCTGGTACGATTGTATCCAGTCGCTGCTCAGTGTGAGTTTCTTGGCGGTACCTTTCCCTTTGCCTTTTCGTGCTGCCTTTTTGGGCTGTGTCTGCGCGGGCGGCGCAGGGCGCTTGTCACGCGCTCGGGGAGTGCGAGGCGGGGCTGGTGGTGGTGGAGGCTGACGTGGCACTTTGGGTCGGAGTTGCAGTAGGCTAGGCAAGTCGTTTCGCATAGCTGTGACCTCGTGCAGTGCGTCATCTAGGCTCCAGCTCTGAGCCAGTAGCTCAGATATAACGCCCCAGATTTTGCGGTCAGCGGCCAGCAATTCCTGGGTGTTGACTGTCCGCAGACCCAGGATTGGGTCGGGTGCGGCCAGGCATAGGTCGGCCACTTTCTTGTCGAAGGCTTTCAGGTTCGACAAGTGCGCGGCTTGGCACAGGGCGATGGCGTTGCGAAATATGGTTTGTACCTTGACGAGCCAACCTGCGGAAAGTGCGCGGGAGTCAACCGACACTTCTGGAGTATCGTCGAAAAAGGCGTGGCTTAGCAGTTGCATCTCTGAGCGCACGGCTTTGCTCGACTTGGCTACCATGATGAGCCGACAGGCGGAGTTGCCATGGAACCCAGCGCATGGCTTGGCCGGGCTTGAGTCCATGGTGCACCAGGCTCAACAGGCGTATGCTGGGCGATGTGTCGCTATCCAGCAATTCTCCGGGATAGTTGGCCCGGAATGCCTCTTCCAGTTTACGCACGGCTTCCTCGGTGAGCTTGGGAGGGAGCATCTCTGTCCAAGTGGCTGGGCTAGGCGTGGCGTCCACAGTTGGCGGGGCTGGCAACGTTGTGCTTTTGGGCATGTTCTGACGGCATGCGTTCCAGGCCTGGCGAACCCTGGATGCGTGCACAGACGACAGTGGGTCGTCGGTGTGCCAGTCTGTTTCGGGCAATGCCAGCAGGAAGGGGTTCAAGTTCTCCACTGACGGAAATGCAAAGGCAAAGTCCGCAGTGCAGTCGAAACCCTTGGAGAAAATGTGCTCTTGGAGCACCTCAGGTATGCGGAAGGAGTTCAGTAGTTGCACGAACTCTTCTTTGTGAGTGTCGACTTCGTCGTTTGCCATCATGGAGGGAAACCACTCCTAAATGAAGAGGAAATGGCTGCGGGACAAATTTTGGGCAGTGCAGGTACATGGTGCAGCGGCACATACTGAATTACGCGAAACCTGCTCTGCCCGCCTGGGTGAAGTGCTCCACCTGGGCTGTGACCAGCAAAACCCATGTGCAATGCATGTGGGTGGGGTACCTTTCACTCCTGCGTGGCTTGGGCGAAAAAGGCTTTGCATGCTTTGCGCTGGCAAAATGTGAGACCGGAGAGCTTGTATACCAAGCAGGTGCCTGGGCGCAGTGCCAGACCGCATGCTGTGGCGTTGCAGGATGCGTCTGCCTCATCTGTGTGATGTATGGCGTGCGTCACGCCCCAAGGCGTCAGGCGAGCTCCCAAGGCTGCTTTGCACGGGATGCAGAGAGAGGGTAAATCCTCTTTGTCAGGTTCGGTGCCTGACGAGCTTTCCGATTCAGAGTTGGATTGGTCGAGGGCAAACGCCAACACTGCGGTTGCCTCCTCGTCAGAATCGAGCACCCTGGTTGTTCCGGGCTGGGACAGTGCAGCGATCTCTCTGCTGTAAAGAAAAGACGGTATGGCCTTCTCGAGTTCGGCGAGGCAAAGTGCTTCTGGCATGGCATGGCCCGGCAAGACCAACGGCGGTTCGATGGTGGGGTGCTGTCCCCCTCGAGCTTGCGGTCGCGGGGGCCTCCAGCCTCCGCGTGCAGCGGTTGAGAGCTGTCTTTGAAGCCACAGTGCTTCAATTGTGTCGTCTCTTGAGTACAGCTGAGCGGAGGACAGCTTGTGGTGGCCCTGCAAGCGGCGGCTGTCCTCTGGCAACCTGAGCTGTGCAGAGGCGCTCAAAAGGCATGTTTTCAAGCTGTGCAGCGTGAAAGCCAATGCCTCTGTCTGTGTAACCTGGGCGGAGCCGGGTGGCAACCAGGGGGTTTGCAGCGCCCATCTCACGAAAGATAGGGCCTGAAAATACGACATCGGTGCGGTGAAGGCTGGGCCTGGGTCTGTATCGAGTGGCGAAAGGCATGGCAGCAAGAAGTCTGGTGTGGTGTCCTGCGTGAAGCGGGTTTTCGTGGCTTGCCACGCCTGCTCGAGAAGGCGAAGCCAGGCAACTACCCAGGATGTGGACGTGCTGGTCCCTGCGAAGCCGAAGGGCTGGCAAGCGAAGGGCTGACCTTGGCTTGTTGTCTTCGTGGCCCAGCACGTGCCGCGCAGTGCGTGGGCGGACAAAGACAATGAGTGAAAGGAAATGCGTTGCAAATCTTTGAATCTCAAACTGCAATGAGCTGCCAGCAGGATGCCGCCGAGCAGTAGGCCGAGCGAGGCGGGGCAGTCTGGCTGGAGTAGTTTTTGCTCCCAAGCGACTAAGGTAGCCAAGGGCAAAGGCAATGCTTCCTTGCGCTCCTGGGGAGCACACGGCAAAGAAAAAGAGCGAATAAGAGTGTTACTCAACAAGGTTGCCAAGTCTGCGATTTGTGCGGTGCGTGCTAGCCATGACAAAGCTTTGACTGCTTGTTTTGGGCTACACTTCAAGGCTGGGCGGTCTTCTTCCTGCGAAGATTGGCACACCTGTAAAAAATCTGCAAGTTGAGGCAGTGACAACGCGGTCGGGCTCCACAGCATTGATTGCCAAAAAACGAGGCATGTCTGCAGGATTTTTAAGTACTGCGATATCGTCGATGCTGCAAAACGTCTCAGCGAGGTTTTGAGTATTTCCATGGGGTGCATTGAGGCAATGCACGTGCAGTACAGTTGGCTGTGCTCTGCAAAAACTGCAAGGATGGATCGCCAATGCTCCATAAGAGATTCACGCAAATTGGTCTGTTGTGAGTGGGAAGAAGTGAACCCGCTCGTCAAGGCTGGTGGTCTTGGTCGAGGCGAGGCAATTCTGTGCAAAGGCGCGGATGTTTTCAAGCTTGTCCCCTGCTGCGCAGGAGTTTGCCAACTGGTGTTAGGCTGCACTGAGCCTGAGCACTGCTTGGGTAGCAAGCTGCGTGGCACGGGCCTTGGAGGCGGCGGTGGCAAAGGTGTGGAAAACGGCAGTCCCCACGGCTGCCTGGGTGAACGAGAGGGAACCGAGAGGCCTCCCTTCGGGAGGCACGGTATCGCCTTAGCGAGTAGCAAAGGTGTGGTAGGCGGGTGTGGACAAATGGGTTTGGCCAAGTTGTGCACAGAGATTGGGGCACCTCGCCTGTAAGGGTGAGACCGCGGCTCGCACGGTGCAGAGTTACTGCAAGTCCTGCTTGGAGGAACTTGGGCCGGGCAAGTAGTGTTGACCTGTGAGGCCTCTGGGGCCGGCTGAGCCGCTGCAGGGCTTGCTTTGGAGGTTGCCTGCAACAAGGGATGGGCGTCATAGCGTATAGGTTGGCCATAGGAGGCACGGTTTCTCCACGGCATATTGGGCCATGGAGCTGCGTCCAAACAAAGCAGTGCATCACGGTAAGGCCAGGCTGGGCCTGGCAAGAACTCTTGGTCGTAAGGCAACGGCTGTTGGCAATGAAGAAGATCTTGATGACGCCGAGGCACCTGGCAGAGCAGAGCGCGAGGGAGGGTGTGTAAATCCCCGCCTGTTAGAAAAAACAGAGGGGGGGGACACCAACCCAAACAGAACCCTGTGCGGGGCAGGCTAGCGAGCCTGAGGCTGTCGCGGCGGCAACAGTTTAATTGCCTGCGGGCAAGGCTCATCTTTGCTGAAGAGAGCGATGGGGGCACGGCGGTGCGTAAAATGGGGAGAACACACAAGAACCCTCCCACACAAAAAGAATCCCCAAAAAAGGGGGGCAGAAAAGGGGCCAACGGAGAGTCCTGAAGACCATCGGCACGAGGAGGTCCACGAAGCACCTGGCGGGGGGAAAAAAGGCGGAAACAAAAGACAAGAAACAGCCAACGGCCTGGCGAGGCCGATTGTATGACCCGGCTGGGCAAAGGCAGTGGCTGTGCAAGTAAGGGCAGCGCTGGTGTGTTGTGTACCTGCACCAGCTGAAAGCCGTAATGTGGCGGGAATGGGCCGGCTTTGGCTGTGCAGATACCCAACCTTGGACCCTTTTTTGGCACTGCTAGATCACAGCGAGCGATCCGGCTGTGCACGGCTAGGCAGCTGCGGCGGCGTGCCAGGCCGTGTTGATTAAAAAAGGGAAAAAAGGGGGCAATGCCGTGCTGCAGGGCGTGACCTGGCGATGGGGGTGTCCTCACTCCAAGGCGTAGCACCTGCTGCACTTGTGGGAGCTGTGGGAGTCGCTCCACATGCTTTGCACGGCGCGGCCGCAGACGCTGTTAAAGCGGCAGACGGGCAAGGCTGTGCATGGCTTACCACAACATTGGTCTCCTCTATCGTCGATGTAATAGGCGTAGAGCTCACGGCCTTCTCCGCGAATGCGTGCGGTGCGAGGCAAGACTAAGGCAGGCATGTGGATGCAGAGGTCAAGCTGTGCGATTGCCTTTGCCTCGGATGGGTCCAGTGGCTGGCTGGGCGTCGCCTTCGGCGTCGTGGCAGGCCATGCGACTGCTGTGCTGTGCCAGTGGATGGCGACGGCATCGCCTTTGGCGCTATAGTAGGCCAGGGCGAGTGCTGTGGTGTGCCTGTGGATGGCGGAGCCGGCTGTGGCTGGGTCTGTGGTGTTGTGGTAGGCCAGGGCGAGTGCTGTGGTGTGTCAGCGGATGGCGGTGCAGGCTCTGGCTGGGTCTGCTCCGGCTCCGAAGGTTTGGCAGGGCTCCGCTGCATGCCGTGGTAGAAGATGCGTGTGTTGCGGTGCCATGCTGGGTCGGTGCTGTAGGCGTAGTGACGGCTGTCGACCCTTGTGGACTCGTCCGGTGGTTCCTGGTCTGTGCTGTCCCAGTAGTTGGCCCACCAAGAGCCATCCCAGGCTGTCCAGCAGCCGTCTGTTGAAGGGCGGGGCTGGTGGTAGCAACTCTCTTGCAGGGGAGGCCACGGGCATGGTGGTGGCGTCAGAGGCTCTTCCTCTTCCATCTGAGGCTCCTTGATGGTGGCCGTGTTGTGCTGAGCTGGCCCGCCATCGATCAGGCCGGCCCATGGTCGTTCTTCGCCCGGCATTGGCGAGGCACTGGGCTCATCGGTTGAAGGGCCAGTGCCTGGCTGTGCAGTGCTGGGCAATGCTGATGCAGAGCCCGGTTGCGTGGTGTCCTGTGATGCCGATGCCGAGGCGATCCAAGGTGGCTTCACTGGCGGGGGTGGGTCCTGCAAGGCGTCCAGGAACCTCGTCCTTGCGGCCTCATCCAGTTGTGAAAAGGCCACCTGGAAGGCTTTTAGGGCCTCACTTTGTGACGAAGCCATGGTGAAACGGGAGAATCTCAGCTATGCTTGAGGCGAAAAACTGTGTTTGAAAAGGTGGCAGGCTTGCAAGGAGTGTGTCAAACAACGGACTGTTGGCAGCGGCCCACAGTCAGTCATGCGAGACGTGGTGCGGGGCACTTGTCGATGCTGTGGGCGAGGCAGGCGAACATCATGGCGAGGATCGCGGAAAAGTACCTGGCAGCGGAGTGGGGCAGGTAAAAACAAGGGCGAATGGGGCAAGGCGTTACCCTGAGTGATTTCTTAAAAACTGGCCAATTAGTGTTCAATGGTGGGTGAAAGACTGAATAGGGTCGTCCTCAGCGCTGTCGCTGAGGATGGAAAAAGCAGCCTCGTCCGTGCTATGCACAGTGCTAGGCAGGGCCGAGCGTGACAAGCGGAACAAAGCTGCAAGGTCCTTAAGAGTGCAGCACACGGATAGTGCTAGGGCAGCGGCAGCATGAAGGCCTGTGGTGGAGAAGAAATCTGCTGTAGCTGCAGCTAGGTCGTGGCTGGAGCGGAACATCTTGTCTAGGCTTCCAGAACTGACAGTGCTCCACAGGCTTTGCTGTGCAACAAAAGACCTGCTGGGTAGGTGATGTAGAGGGCCGTGCGTGGCGGCGAAATGAAGCAGGTTTGCTGTAGTGAAGCTTTGGCAAGAGTGCGCAAATGAGAGTGTCCATTTCAACAAGGCGCGGAACTGGGCCAGGTGGAAAGTGGCGGCGTGACACCCTGCAGTCTCCAGAATTGCCAATAAATAGCTTGAAGTCGTCGCGAAAGAACGAAGTCTGGTGCTGGATGAGAAAATACCCAACACTGTCTTTTGGCCAGGCGGGGCAAAGAAGTGTGGTAGTACTTCGCACCAGGAAGCAAGCATGGCGTCGGTAGGCGTTGCAGAGCGTTCGTGAAACAACGGCCATGCGAGCATGGTGCAGTATGTACACCAAACGAAGTGAGCACTAAGGTTATGTAGAACCAAACTGCATTATGGCGGTCACAAAGGCAACGTAGTACACTGCAAGCAAAAAACAAATGATTTGTGGCCTGTGGGTCAGGCGGGAGTGCGCTCCGCAGGACCTGGCAGGGCTTTACGTGTCTTAACTTGCAGTTAAGGGCTCGTGTTGTTGATGTTGTGTGGGACAAGGCTGCGGCCAAGTTCAAACAGAAGATCAACTAGGTTCGGGACGGCGGTCCGTTGCGTGGCCAGTACCTTGCACAAGCAAGACGAGGACACGCAACCCTGCAAATGGTCCAAGAACCAAAGCAGGGGTCTGGACGGCGGTCCAGCCTGCCCCTCAGCGAGCGCGCTGGGCCTAAGCTGTTCAAAACTGGGCGCGGCCCAAGAACAAGAGCAGGGGGCCGGACGGCGGTCCAGCCTGCCCCTCAGCGAGCGCGCTGGGGCCTGAGCTGTTTAATGCGGGGCGCGGCCCAACAGCTGAATCTGTTTGGGGAGCGGCCGCAAGGCCTTCCAGCGAGCGCGCTGGGCCCCAAGCTTTGCTGTGCGGGGCGCGGCCCAACAGCGGCATAGATCCTGCCATGCTTGGCAGAAACTGCCAGTGTTTGGGGGCGTGGCACAAGACCACCCGGCAGTGCGTGCCGGACCCCTAGGTGCAACGGTGCAGTTAAGGCGCTGGCCTGTGAAGCGTTCACAATGCACCTTCCGCGGGAGTTGCACCTGGCCGAGCGGGCTAACGAGGTCCCTGGCTGAAAGCGTCAGCACGAGGGAGCCTACCCCTCAGCGAGCGCGCTGGGGCCTTAGCGGTTCAATGCGGGGCGCGGCCCCACAGCTGAAACTATTGGGAAATGGCCTTGAGGCCCTCCAGCGAGCGCGCTGGGCCCAAGGCTGTGCTGAGTGGGGCGCGGCCCAACAGCTGCACAGCGTGCGATCCTGGCGGAAGCGTCCGTCCGGAGGGAATCCGTATGATTTGGCTAGGCCTGCGGGCCAACAAACAGGAAGTGGCCTGATAAGCCCACGTGTCCTCGAAACTGGGCTTGGCTAGGCTGCAAGAAGGCAGGCTGCAAAGTGGGGCCAATGGTGCAAAACGAGTTTGACAATGGTGCGCACTGAGGCCTGCACTAAAAACCATGCGGGGCCAATGCGAGGCATAAGGCTAGGCGAAACGGCAAGGCAAGGCGAAGCGGCGAAGCGGACATGGCGTTTCAAAGATGGAAACCGCATGGTTGTTTAGCTTGGAGCAGAAATGGCCACAAGCGGTGTAGATTCACATGCCCCTATAACACGGGGGAACACACAACCCCTAGCGTAAATCGGCCAGCTACAACAGCACAGATGCAACTTTCTGACGTTGGTGCAAGGCTTGCTTCACATAGAGCTAGTTGCTAGTTCCCTTGTTCTTGCGATCACGGTTGGACACATTGAAGCATGCAGACTGCTCGACCGCTAAACATGGCAGACTTGCAAATTGATAAATTGGTTCATGTCAGAACAAATGGTGTTTGAAAAAGCTTTGGGGAATGTGGTTGAATTTAGACATAAGCCACGGACAAGGTTCCTCACAACTGGTTCAATTGGGTAGGCGCCCTGGTGTTCTGAGAAAGTTAAGGAAATTGGGCAGATCTTCCAAGTTCTCTCCACATGAACAACGGACTACCAGTCATATTGTCTGTCGCTCACATAGCCAGTATTCGTGTTGGAGTTGGGAGAGAAAGCTGAGCAACATGTAACATGCACAGGTACTATCAAACAATGACAGAATCACGCCATGTGTTTTATAAACAGCTCCATGGGTTCTATAAACAAACAACTCTATGCGTATGGTTGCTATAAATATGAGTATAGATGTTGCAAATAGATCCTTGGGTTGTACAAATAGCTCCAAGAAAAAAACAATAGTTTATAAATAGCTCCATGGGTTTTATAAATAGTTCTGGAAAAACTTGAACAATTTATAAATAGCTCCAAGCAAAACCTAAATATTTTATAAATAGCTCCTGATGTTTTATAAATAGCTCTGGACGTTTTATAAATAGCTCCTGGAATTTTATAAATAGCTCCTGACACAGACACATTTCCTCACCGAGAAGCCAAATAAAGAGCCTGACGCACCTCCTAACATAGATTATATACTTCAGAGAGGAACTGCCGATGCTACCAAAGCCAAACATGTTACCAAAGGCCGCGGGAACCAACGAAAGGCTGCAAAAGCCAAAGAGCCAGGAACTGAGAAAGAAGAAGCCACCTGATGGAGAGGAACTGGGAAAGCACAGGATGCGAACAGCCGAAGCCAAAAACACACCAAAAGCCGAAACCAAAAAAGCCACCCGCCAACTGGGACTGCAGAGGATGCGGCTGCCAAACCAGAAGCTGAAAAACCAAGAAGCCAAGCAAAGACAGATGTCCGCAGGATCGCAAACTGGGCCATGGGCCAAACCTACATAACAAACCAGATCGAGACTCTGGACAGACTCCATTCCGCATTTGATGTTCAAGACATGCGTCAGACCCTGGCCAAAGCACAAGGTGTTCTTAACATGCTGCCGGAAATGCCCAAGCCCTTGCTCAAGTCCACACATCACATAAGGAACAGGCTCACAACGATTGAAACATCTTGTTCAAACACAGCCCTCAAATCTCCAATGAAGAAATCCCCATCCCAAGAACAACTCTTGAAGAGGCCCTGAGTGAGGCCTCCCCCCGGGACCTTGGAATCAGACGGCCCCCCTTCACCCGCGCCGTGCCCTCCCGGACGACGACGGCCCGACGGCTCCTGTGAGGCGAACTCCAGCGCCTCGCCCCGCGCCACCGCCGCCAGCGCCACGTCCTTGTCGCCCCGGAGCTCCCCGCGCGGCCCCGGGGTCCCAGGACCCAGTGGGGAGCGCCCCGGGGGGGGGGGAAAGGTCTGCCCGGCCCGGAGGAGTTGCGGGAAGTGCCGGGCCGACTGACTGGGAATTGGGAAATGAGCACTTTGTCTGCCCGGGCTGGCCTTGGACAAGCAATGAAAAGGAATAGAAAGGAATGGAAACGAAAGGACGTGGAAAGAACATCTGGCGCAATTCATTTGGTTCCGCATGGAAGTGCAAAACATTAAAATTTCGGCCCCCGCTGACCTTGGAAAGAAACCGCAAAACAATAACACCATACGTCTCCTTTTTTTTGAGCCCTTGTTTTGGACCTTGGCTTTGAGTTCTGCAAAAGAGACTCCCATTCCTGGGCGAGCGCTGGGCAAACCAGCTCTGCCAGCGAATGTCAATGCTTGATGGTTTGAGAAGGTCATCGAACACTTCAGTCGTTTTCATTCTGGAAACTAAGTCTGCTGATTGTTTTGGAGTCTTTGAACAGGCCATAGTCTGCCGACCCCTCGAGGCGCACGGGAAGGGTCATCACCAAATACAGCTCTTTGTTTTTTGTTTTATACTAGTTTCTTCTTATATTCACGTGCTTTAGATTCTTGTTATCTTGTTCTTATACTAGAACATATCTTGCCTTGCTTATAGTTTTGTTGTTTTCCAATATTGGCTATGATGATAGTTACTATCATCATCATCACCATAGTCACGATCATCATCTCATTTGCTACCATGACAGCTATCACCTTCATGATTCAACGCTAAGGATGCTGCGATGACAGTCATCATTATCATAATAACGGTCAGCATCACTGGTAAAGCTAAGGATGCTATGATGATAGTTGTCATGGTCATGATGGTAATGCAAAAGATGCTATGATGATAGTTAACATCATCCATCACTGGTAATGCAAAGGATGCTATGTTAATAGTTCTCATCATCCTGGAAAGGGTGCATAACAATAGCTGCAATCGTCATGATGGTCATCATCGTCTCATCACTAACATCATGCTCATCATCTCTTTCTTTTCTTAAACTTCTTACT